GCAGATAGATTTACGTTACCGCTCGAAGATATGCGTCTCTCCCAATGTCAGCTCGCTAATCAAGCGATCACCATATAGTTCATCATCGGCAAACTCCTTACGCAGTAGCATTTTCACCCCGTTTACCATTCTTGACGGTAAGCCTCGTTAGTTCGTTGAATCATTTACTTCTAAACACGTTTGAGTCTTTTTTAATGTGATAAAAGAGAATTTAGAGGTTTAATTAAGTCACCAGAAAAAAAACAGAAAATATAATTTTAAGAACATTAAATTGAAATAATAATTTTAAGATTTTCAAACATACGTATTATTTTAAGCATAAATTGTCTATCTGGGCTCTGTTTCATTATTCTATTATTATTATTTACACTGAGTAAAAAAATGAATTGAAATGACCATAATTTAATTATAATTTTGAGTCATTCTCGCCAATTAAGTTTTTTTGATAAATCTATAAAGATTATTATTACTGACATTATATAGCAGTTATATAACTAAATGTATATAAAACTTTTAATCATAATTATACTTTACCGTGCAATTATGTTATCACAAATCGATATCATAAATATCGATCTCTTTTCTCTCAGCGTGTTTAACCCCCAGATAAAATATAACATACACGTTCTAACAATTTTTGCGTCATTGCAGATTTAATGAAATTGCAATAATTGTATGCTATACAATATTAAGGTACATAGGCAGTTGAGTCAAATTTTGTTTTATTTTCGTTATCATTTTTTGAATTTTTGTGAAAGTGCAAAAAATGCGATACATAACTAGGAGAAAGTTTGTAAAAGATAGGATTTATTCTCTCATGCGTCTCAAAACCGATCGGACCAGACGTAATTTGAATAACGGAGTACTATAAAAGTATGTGTGAAAGAACGACATGGTGAAAAGAATCCCCATCCATGGAAATCGCACGCGATTAGATACAGTTTCCGTGTTACGTCGCTCCACGTGATGGACGTTGCTGTTTATTTCGATATCGGGATTACCTCGAATTTCCATGAGAGAGAAAATAACGCCACAACGTTATTGTCCCCGTAACAGCTATTTCCATTTGCAGTTGCTTTTCTCGGATAAACATGGTAGTCGTCTCGGTACATTCATGCATTCTGGAAAATTTTCTCCGACGATAAACTCGGACGAATAATACAATCCTTACATAATTGGATTTCAAAGATAAATTCGAAAGGCTATAGAATTTATATGTTTACATAATAAAATACAACTTTTAAATTTATAAAACTCGATTGTTTCAATCATCTGTGAGCGATATTGAAGAATAATTTTATTAACATTTTATAATCTCTTTTTTGAAATTACACATATATTTTTAGAACATCTTCGCATTGAAGATAAATACAAATTATTAGCTTCAGGCCACGATAAGTAATTATCCGCTCCTGAATCAAAGAGATTAAACAGATGTAAAAGATCGTAAAAGACGTAAAAGAAGTTTATGTTTCATTAGGTAGGCGGTAAATGGATTAATAAATATTTATATGAGAACGTCATGAATAAATAATACGCTCACCTAAGTACGAAAAGTGTGAGCGCTGCATGACGGAAAACACTAACAAAGAAATATAATTACGGTGCGTACGTGCAATTTTAATGATGTCATTGGAATGCGTCATCTCTACAAAGAATCGTATTATAACGCTGTTATTCATAGTTAAGATTCTGTTCTGTTAACCGTATCATATTTTGCTCTATAATTTATTAATTTCTTATTTCTCATAACCAAACGTTGAAAATTTTTTAAGTTAAGGGCTTAATTAAAACAGTTAAAGTACGTCTGTGTACTGCCAGAAGTCGCAACTGTACATAGAAAAAACGGTTTCGTTAAAGTATTTAAAAATTTAGTTCAAAAAAATTTATAAACCTGAAAAAATTTTATTAAATCATCAAAACAATTATGTAGGTCGTTAAAACAATTTAAATAAAGGATATAACATACAAAATGCATAAAAGTAAAAACTACCTGTACCCTGATTCTCTGTAATTCTTATACAGCGATACCGAATTGTCATTAAAATTACAAAATCGAGGTATTTACTGATTAATGCATATTTATGTAAATCAATATGATGACTTTATGCTTGATGTTCATTGGTTCAGTTTTGTACTAGCTATGCTTATGCATTTCGCATGCTGTAGCTCTTAAAAATGCAAAGTATTGACATTCTGGTAACCAGCTTGAGCGTCCTACATAATTATTTAGATGGTCCAAACTTATTTTCAGATCTGTATCTATACTGCGAAAAAAAATCTTAATGCAAAGAAAATTTACTTGATACAAAAAAAGTTTACTTGTGTTAAGTAAATTTTCTTTGTATTAAGATATTTCTTCTCTCAGTGTAGCTAAATTATTTTAGATAAGTATCTTCAGCAAAAGCATTCTTCTAGGCTCCGAAAATACTTTACTGAATCTATGTCTCAATAAGTCAATAGGTATATATTTCTTTAATATATCTTTTGGTTAAACAAATCCGCATCGCGAAACGGTACAGCCGTTTAGATGAAAGCAACAGATTCCCATGAATAATTCATCGGACTGTTTACCGATGGTTGCGTGGGCAACTTCTCTTCCTCCTTGTCTTTTTGCAAGAGCTTTCGTGGCAAATCCCTTTCGTCGTGAAACGCGTTACGCAAACGTGTGTTCGGAAAAATTGTGTTCGACGTGTTCGCCATTCCGACGCCGGTGCCATGCGACAACGGAAACATCTAATTCGCGAATCTGTCATTTACGATTTATTAACGAAGACATAAAAGATTTATGAAAGCGTCTCGACACAGAATTGGACCTTTTTTCCATTTTAATATCCTTTTACGATTTTAAAAGCAGCGAAAACAGCGTTGTCTAAACAAAATTTTACCGTTGCGGAAAAGATTTGCGGGAAACTGCATAAAAATTGCTGCGTAAAAATATTGTTCATTTTTTTATCGTGCAAAACTTAATTGGTAGAATTCACACGTGCACGTCTGAGTCGCGCGATACGTTTTCCCTGCTTGCAGCTGTAAGGCTTTCATTATTATAATCGATTGCTATCGTGTCTTTAGAAAATTGGATCATCTTGAGTAACACTATCGACAGGAAGTCAGAGTAAGGATGCAGTGCGCCAAATGTTGGTAGTAACGGCGAGTAAATATGTATTATTTATGGCTGTCTCTTTCTTTAGGGTCATCTTCCTTACCACTTTTGTCATTTTTCGTACTATCAATAAGAGACCTATCATAAAAGTTGCAAAAAACGCGAGCCTCTTGGGTAATAGCCAAAGTCTGTAAGAGAATGATATTACGAGATAATTTAGGATGTACGTGAAACAAGTTAACTCAAAACCGGTAAGATATATTAATCCTTTCAATAAGATCGATCCATTTGGTGATGAACGTTGCGTGACGAGTAACTGAAGTACTTATATAATTTCGCGTCAGGGAAATTGTCCCTGGAGAAGAGGAACGATTTGGAATACTCAGGAGAAGAACAAAAAAAAAACGGAGAAAATTTCCAGAGAAATGTAATTAATTTTCGTGTTACAATATCAATAAATCGATGCCTTATAATAGGACTGTAATTATTAGCAGAAGACACATCTTAACCATTCGGTATCAATCTAAGTGTGTCATACCGGGCTACTCTACTAGAGGAGAGTGGGCATGAAGGAGACATGTTTTGAAAGAGCCATTTTGTATTTCAACTAACTGAATGTTTCCAAAACTTAAAAAAATTTTCACTTGATAACAGTGCTAAAACTACGTCGTCCATATACATTTGATAGTCATCGTCAAAATGGTGTTGCCGTAATGAGAAATGCAAAATTGTCGCTACAAAAAGTACGTTTCTTGAGTTAAATTTCCAAGTGTTTGTTTTTTCATTTATTTGCGATTAGTTTTTGGAAAAAGCATTATTTTATCGAATACTATTATACATTAATGTAACTAAGGACGTATAGTTACACATTTTTTTGTTTATTTTAGTTTATCAGATTCTGTGATTAGTTTTTTTACATATAATTTTATGAAAGAGCCAATTCTTTTATTGCATACCCAGGGATATGATTCTGTCAGCGCACAGTATAAAATTGTCTTCAGATGTATCTACTCTATTTCCTTCTCCAAGGAACATCCCTGTGAATACTTCAAGTATTTCTTTATTATAAGACGGCAACATGAGACAATAAGTGTTTTTAATTAGAAGTATTATATTTTGTTTTCCACATGTTTATTAATTTCCTAAAAAGTTATATTTATTTTTTATAAAACAACATTTTGATTTTATTTACGTTAAAACTTAAATAATTTAGTATTCGGTTCTTTCAAAATAGATTGTAGCTTTTTCAAAACCATTGTTTTCAAAACCATGTTGTTTTGAAAGAGCTGAAATTTAAGTTTATAAAAAATGGTGATTAATCTGAGTTAATGATTAAATATTATTTTTCTGTTAAATGAATCTTATAGATAATTTAGTATACTTAATTAAGAAAGTAATTATTTTGTTTAATACGTACCAGATTAAATTTTTTTTTTAATATTTAAAAAAAGACTTTTTCATGCCCATTCTTCCCTACAGCAATTTATTGCCGTTTGAGAATATATTTAACCAATATTAGATCGACATTGAACCAATATTGTGCTAATAAATTGTGCTACAAGGTATTCTCTTACTTTATATACCTATAACTTTTTACCAATAAAAATACATATATTTGCTTGTTATTATTATATTAGTATCTGATGACGTTTCAATAAATTTATTTTTACACAATACTTGTGTTTTCCTATGACAAAACGTATAGTATGGCACCAAATGGTTAAGTATAATTAATTGAACAATAAATTGTTACAAAGAACTCTCAATATTAAAATAATATAATAATAAAAATAAAGACTAATAAGAGTTAGCATTTATTTCTATTATTACATTATTATTTTAAGTATAATTAAGTATAGTAAGTTAATAAGTTGAGTTTTATAATAAATAGTAATTTTCACGCATTAATCCGCACGAAATTGTCTCGTTTTTTCATTGTGAAATGAATCGATATTGTAAAAATTGACGCATTGCACGCGAATTGGATACCTGATCCATCATAAGGAACGATTCTCCTGAGTCCGCCTTGTCCTCTAATAGGATGAAAGTTCTGCTGTTGGTCCAAAGGCGGTGGCTGGGCACTTTGCAGCTGCAGATGATGCTGCTGGGAAGCATTCGTCGAATAATGGGTAGAAGCATTTGTCGCGGCGGAGGCGCTTCCTGGTAGCTGCTGATACTGGCTACCCTGATACTGACGAGGATGATGCGGATGGTGGTGAGGGTGAGGATGCGAGTACGGCGTGCACCAGGTGTAACACTGCTGCCAAGAGGCAGCCGCGTCCGTACTGGCCATCCCCTCGCCATCCTCGTTCCCCATTCGTGTCCAGTCGCAGGAATCCATTCTGGATTCGACAGTAGCTTATTTCTTGTTGGAAGGTACCGCGTACAGTATATCGGGTCTGAATAGTTCTCACACAATCACTCGATATTCAGAGCAAAATTGACACCGTGCCTGACCATGACTTGCGCACAGTAATTCTCTATTTCGTCAAATTCCACCAAATTGATTTCCATTAATTTCGATGCTCATTATTTACTTTCCGAAATAATGAAATAATTTTTTTATTACTTAAGTAAAATACATCTACCTTATTAATTGTTATTTATTTTTCCAGTATTCATTTGGTTCAGTTTTGCATTGATGTTGTAAGAGTTAACAACAATTTTCAGTGAGTTTGCATCACGAAATAATTCGTTGATGAATTAGCAACGATTTGCTTTTGTCGCTTCGACAACAATTTTTATCACGATGCATTTATAATCTTCTATAAGTTTCACCGGACATAAATTAGTAAATTATATGTACTTTGTCCAGTTTTCATATTCGCAGGTTGTCATTGAATTGTCTACGAATCCTGCAAATGTGTATAGAAATTAACGAATTGAAAAAGCTCTTTGGTATAAGTAGTTATACAAACAATTCTCCGTAATATTTCATCCGACCTCGCGAACAATAGCAGAGTTTAAAATAATATAATAAATGAAATATATCTATTCCTTCTCTAAACTTTTGTTCATTCAGTGAAATACATAAAAGCTAGGAGAGCAAAATTTTATATTTGCATATAGTTTTTTCTCGTTTGTGACCTATTTAGAAGCCATAACGCATTAGCATCTTTTTATTATTCTTACATTTTGTAAAAAATTAATTTAAAAAATTAATTTGTTATTTTCGTAAAAAAATTGAAAAGAGAAAAATTCAAGAATCATATCATAACATAACCAATAGAAAAATATTAAACTTTTGTTTTTTTTTTTAAATTATATATATTTATTATATAAATAACATAACAATGCCAAATTAAAAAAAAATTGATTGTCCTGCTTGAAATATAAAAAGTATAAGTGTGAACGTATTTTATAGCATGCTAATTATTAATCTTGCATGTTTTTTTTTTCGATATTTATTAATTATTAATCTCTTTTTCTTAAATATTATGTGATAGTAGTCAATAGATTACAGTACAGCGATAAAAATAAAACGAGATAAGACATACATATCAATAAAATATACATATCTTTGATTTCTTTTACATCAATGAAATCTATAAAAATTATGAATATTAGCTGTTAAGGAGAAATTATACGAGTCTTGCATTAAAATTTTGCATTATGCGTAATTATACATTTCACATTATGTTATAAAAAAAAAGACATTATATTTCGTCAAGATGAAATCGAAGTATTTATTTGCTTCGGAATTTTTATGCTATTGTGCGACCGAGACAGCGAATCGGATATATTACGGATGAGTGCAGCGTAAAGTGTATAACACGGAAAATCATGATGTCGAGGGAACAAGAGTTACGTTCCGCCGTTACTGTCGATTGTCTCCGCGAACAGTGGAGCTTCCGCTGCGATCAATCTCGGCGATCCGCACAATCGCGGATTAAACTCGTCCTGTTGCCGCGCGAACCGGCCGGCTTCTCCCAAGTATTTAAATCTATCGATTGTCACTTTCGCGTCGCGACCCGACATCGCGATCGCGACCTCGACGAGTTACAGGTGGATGCACCATAGATGCGTTTCTTGGTACGATCGGCGAATTTTACACGCGCGAATACATCCGTCTCGTCTATGACGAGAGACTCGCGGGCGCGCGAGGATCGTCGATGCAATTTCGTACGCACGTAACCCGAAGAGACTCGGCGATGACTGAGACGAGCGGAAGCTTCTCCTCCACTTCGAAACGAAAGAGGGTTGAGGGCACGAGGCGCGTCGGTGGCCGATGTCGGGGGATGTGCCCGGGTCCACGTGCATCGGCGGGCACGTTTTTCAGTCACGTGTTCGCCCACAACCCCATTCGAGTATTTCTGGAAAGAGCACTCCGGTGTTAATTCCGACCCGACAAATGAATACAGGTGAACGTTACCAAGAATAACGGCTCGTTTCCCTCTTTGATACGAATAGCAATCATAATCGCGCTGGACGCGACGATGTCTTTCTAATCGTCAAATACTTGTTTCTTTAGAAACGATATTTTAAATAATTATAAGTGGAAATTAGACCGACAGGAATGAATCGAAAAGTCGAAGCAGACGTTGCTGCTTCATATAATATTCATATAAATAAATACATTTTTCAGTTTCGATATTTTAAATAAGACAGCCTTTTGATTATAAGTATCCTTTCAGAAAGGATTTTTAATAACAAGTAGAAAAAAATATTTTTGACATACTTAATCTTCTCGAAACCTTATTTAATAAAAATTAGATTAACTTATTGTCTTCAGACAAAAATAACACATAAATTCAAGTTGATATAAATTCTAACATTAGAATAAATCTTTATTCGATGTTGTAACGCACGATGTTGGAGTTTGGCACGAAACCAATGTTCAAGATAATTTTATTTCAGGCATAAAATTTTTATTCAAGAGTGAAATATTCCTCTGTTGACAATAAATATAATTATTCCTACATCGATTCTATTTTATGATAAATTTTATGATCGCACAGTAATAGAATTGGAATTAAAAAATCTTTTCTATGGCTGTATAAAGCATCTTCAAAAAAGATAGACAAAAAATATGAAAAATTAATATCATTTTTCAAAAAAACTTCTTATAATATATATCTTTCTAGAAAGATATAGAATTTACGTAAAAGTTTACGTAAATTTGTGGAAGTGCTTTATAATTGTAGCCAAGGCTATACGTAGCGATGTTAAACTCGGAACTTTCAAAATTTGCAGGAAAATCCACGAAAGACGACTTGGTCGTGTGATTCTGCCGCGGTCATTGATAGCCGATGTGACGGAAATAGACGTCATCGAATCGCTTCACACAACGATACGCGGAAAACTATTCGCATACTTCCATTTATGTAAAATCAGTGCAATGTAGCTGTTATGTAACGTATTACGTATCGTACTATATATCGGTGTATCGATAATCCGCGCATGAGATTACTTCGACGCATGACACTATCGTCCGACACGTTGAGTTGTCGCAGGTCAGGTCATTTCAGGTCAACGTACTCATACATTCGTTCGTGCATACGTCGTCTCCGGAATTTCTCCCGCTTCCGTAACGTCGCCTTATTCTTTTCACCTGACACTACATTTGCATCGCGCCAACGTCGACCGTTCGTAGATAAGCATCGTGCATTCAGTAGCCAGTGATAAACATCGAGCAGAATACAGAGTGTCCGCAAATTCGTACCCATTGATTTTCAATAAGATTTTTCATTAATTTTTAACACGGATAGATTATGAGTTATGGACAATTGATATAACTTTTTTCTCAATTAATTTACTCCTACATAAATACAATTACGATTTGAAGATTAGTTATCGAAATATCTAACACCGCAAATGGAGGAAAAGATCACATAAAAAATTTTCATGACAAGAAAATCGATCACGTCGGAAATTCATAATTTATTTTTCGTAATTCAGCTTTATATATTTCATTAATTTATTCAGAAATTCATAATTTATCGTCTGTCATTAAATATAGTTGTGCGATCTTCATTCAGCTTGCCTGAAAATTTTACAGTATAATGCTTTACCGGTCGTATCAAATTTATAGGTAAATATAAATACGGGTGTTTATTACAAGCTGTCTGAACCGTTAGGTTAACGAGCATTCTTCTCATCGCCCATAACCGACTCGATCCATCAACTGCAGCAATGCTGGGCTACCTATGGACGTCGCGCGCACATCCCTTTGTATTTTCCGGTCGAGCGACGATCGCATCCCGGTAGACGCTCGATGCTTAGAGCCGGAGATCGGTATAGGCCGACTCTGACTCTGTCGTGCGTGGTGCCGCATTTGTTTCTTCTCCGATCGATGATTGAGGCAGATGGGTCGGATGGGCCATCGTCTGCCATGCGATAGATAAAAGCCTCCCTCGCTCCTCCCGAACGGGACGATTAAAATGTAAATTGATCTGGCGATTCCCCATGGCCCATCCATCTCCGCCACGCATGAGGTAGTTCTTTCGACGCTTCTATCATTGTCACTGTATCGCGACTCGCAGAACAATTCGTCTTTGCAATCAGTCGCAACTTGGCGCGTTGAAAGTAGGTATAAAGGGTTAATTTGAGAAGGACTATTTTTTTCTTAGATCCTAAATTAATAAATTATTAAAGTCCATGGTTGTGATCGCATAAAGAAATTTCTCTTAGAAAGACGATCAAAAAGCTCACCGTTAAATTAGTCATCTAGACTCTAAGAGAAAAATGTTCAGTATTTATGATTATAATTACATGGTAAAGTGATTGTATATATAGTTAGCAGTTTTTATTACTATAATGTTATGACAATAATATATATAATTATATTTATAGTTTTATATGCAGTAGTAGATAATTAGAAAAATAGTGATAAACACTTTTTCAATGTAAAAATTATGATTCTCGTAAAGAGTGATTCTCGCACTCGACTGATGACAAAGATCGATATTATAACAGCAGTAAAGAAACGTACAAAAAGCTTTTTGATTAATATCTAAGATTTTGACGCTTTGTTCCATATCGTAATAATTGCGCAACCGTTTCTAAATTACGACCAGAAACTAAGGAAAGCAAACCACTTCTCTTACCCCTTTCGCGCGTTTGCTTCGCGATCCCCATTTAACGATCCCCACCTAGTTGTACCACCCGCGAAGCCACCCTCGGCAGAAATTCCCGTCGCGATAGCTACCCGCTCACGTGTTGCGCCACGTGAATCGCGCTGCATCTAATAAGAGCGCACGTGGGCGCCCATTTCCGATGCCGACCCACCGCTGTCGCATCCCGGCTATCCTCCCCGAGTTATTGGAGGTCACGTTCCATTTATATCGCGTTTCCAATTTTCCAAAGCCAGGATTGTTC